AAAAAAAAAAAAAATACATATATATATATATCTCCCAGCCCATTATTACCCTACTTTCCATATGCAGAGCTGAGGGCAGGCGGGCCCCACCTCTCCTAGACCCAACAAAATGAACATCATGGTGCTGAGGATATAGAGAGTGAAGTGGAAACTTGAATTTGGGCATAAAGCACCAGATTTCCCAGCCATCCTAGACAGAAGAGGCTGCAGTTCTTCCCTCCCATATTTCATCCCACACCATGGAAGCTGGGCCATGGAAAAGATGAGCCATGGAAGCTGGGATCAAAATCAGAGCCACAGAAGTGAAATGGCAGGGATCATTCATTTGCCCAGAGACAAGGAGTTGGGAGGGAATAGTCCAGAGACTGAAAGAAGTACATCTGACCTGGATACTTGCCATGAACCTTCCACTTGTTTCTCCCATGGGCTCCACTCAGGGTCTTAAAGCCCCTTGCCTGTTACAATCCCTCCTTGGAGTCCAACTTCTCACCCTCTCTCTTACAGGGTGGTAGGTGCTTCTCAGATATACTGCCTTCCACCACCACCACCCTTGCAATGGGAGGTGGGATTCCTACCTCTTTTTCTCTCCTAAATTTCCATTCCTGTGGACTTGGACCCTGCTGTGGGGGAAGGTTGGGAAGAAGGGAAGTATGAAGTCCTGAGAGCCTGGGGCTTTGATGAGGCTGGTCCTTACCTGTCCCTTTGTCCAAGGGAAGGGGTTAGGGCCAGGGGAAGGTGTGGCCACTGCCCTTTGATTCGGGAGATGAAAGGGAGTTCAGTGGCTGTTGTTGAGCTCTAGGACTCCGCCCATGCCAAAGGCAAGGCTGCCCTGAGGGTCTGTTTTCTCTACAGGAAGGGACTTCAGGGCCCATCTAGTCTACCCCTCTTAGTTTTGGAAAGGGAGATCATGGGACTGCCCAAGGTCATGTTCTGTAGGAGATAGGCTAGAACCAGGTCTCTTGATTCCCCATCTGTAGCCTTTTCCCTGCACTGCAAGCTTCTAATGCCAGGAGGCACGTGATGGAAAATAAGAAAGAGGGGGGAATGAGCCAGAGCTACAAGGGGCATGGAAGCAAATGTGAGAAAGTGTTGTAAGAAAAAAATATGGACAGTTCGTTTTTATACATCTCAGAGACCTTACTTGCAGGGAGAGGATTTAGGATAGATAGAATCAGAGTCTTCTTGGAAGAGGGTGGTTAAGGGATGTGACCTCTTCCAGGAGAGTACACCACCACTGTTCTAGCAGCAGGTGTGGTGGTTGGGACTATGGAAGATGGCCTCCCTAGATCTCCCCTTTTCCTTGCTCCTCGTATTTTGTATCCATACTCTGCAGATGAGGAATCTGAGGCTCAGAAAAGTTAAGTGGCTTGTCCAAGGTCATAGGGTCAGAAGGGGGCAAGGAGACCAGGAAAGTAGATCCAACTCTTGTCGGTGGCTAAAGCCCCATATTTAACTGCTGCCTTGTCCCATGATCTTGCCTTGTCCAGGAGACATCTAGCAGGGTTGGGGCAGTTGTAAGGGAAGGAGGGAGGGCAACAGGTAGCTTTATCTTCTCACCAATCAAAGGTGCCTGGGTCTGGCAAAGATGCGACAGGATAGGGTGGGCATGAGGCTCCTTCCTGCCCCCACAGGAACCCTCTAAATAAAGAGATTGTTGAGGGGTCATCTTATCCATTCCCCTACCTTCAGCCAGAATAGTCCCTTACCCATCAGAGCCCAGTGAGAATTTCTCTGTGTGGAATGTTCCCCAAGGAAGGAGATTCCTTGATGTTTAGACTCCAGTTGAAAGGGCAAGGGATTGAATTGGGGTTTTGTTGTTGTTGTTGTTTCTTTGTTTGTTTTGTTTTTTAATTGAGACAGAGTTTCAGTATATCACCCTCGGTAGAGTGCCATGGCATCACAGCTCGCAGCAACCTCAAACTCTTGGGCTTAAGCGATTCTCTTGCCTCAGCATCCCACATAGCTGGGACTACAGGTGCCTGCCACAAAGCCTGGCTATTTTTTGTTGCAGCTGTCATTGTTGTTTTAGCTGGCCTGGGCTGGGTTCGAACCTGCCAGCCTAGGTGTATGTGGCCAGTTGCCCCCCTACCCACTGAGCTAAAGGGGATGCCCATAAGATAAGTTCTTGAGTGACATGTGATGGACAGGAGCCCTTTGACCTAGGGCTTTCTTACCCTTTGCTTTCTTTTCTTTTCTTTTCTTTTTTTTTTTTTTTT